CACCGGTGAATGATCTGCCACTGCAGCGCACGCAGGTTAGTAGGTCATCTATCCGAGTATGTTGCCCATCTGACTGTGGTGGGCGAGTCTCTTGCCCACCGTAGTCTGATCGGTTTGGATATGTGTGTCAGTTTCCTTGTAATTTTGTACCCATCCTTTACTGTGTACTGCCATATCTGCAGTTTACGGGAGTCCCCCATGTCCCATTCCCATTCTTGTGGGTCGAATGGCAACTAGCAGAGGGGGATGGCCGGCTCATACACGAAGGGTCATTTGTCACTGTCACTGATCACACATATTCTAACGAGTCCTGCGGCGGGTGTCCAACGGTCGAGGTCATCTTGACGGTCCAGTTTGGACCATCTTTCTACTGGGAGGTGTGGTGTGTACGCCTTAAGGCTCGCCTCTTGAGGGTTAACCGCCTCTACATTGTATAGTACCATCGGGATCGGCTAGTCCTCTGGTCGTACCACCCAGTCCCCCTGTCGTATTGTCGGGCCTCTCTTAAGTTTCAAGACCCATGCCAGGGGGACAGCCTCTTGGATCTCTTGCAGTCCCTCTTCCGACTTTTTGACATGGTGCAACTTTTGTCGAAGGTCCTGGACTGATAGCCACGTGCTTACATGGACATTCCACAAATCAACAACTGTATATCCCTTTTCTCACTTAGGGGAGCCATCTCTAGCCCGTTTGCAGTGAGAATGGTTTACTTCTGCGATCTAGTATGCATGGGTTCTCAAATAGAGGTTGTCTCCATATTTCGTCCCATCTAAGCGGGACAGGTTTTCGAGCCGGTGTCGAGCGCATCGGTCCGGCACAGGAGTTGGTTTAAATCCTTCGTCGCAAATATACATGTGGAGCTCCGCAAGCCACTCCGACCGAGTGCGCCAGCCATACCTCTCGCGAGCCCCTACGACAAGATAGGGCCTACGCGAGGCACGACTTACCTCCACCTTACGGGAGCTGTCACCTCCCTTCGGTGGGCGTATCCCCGCCGAGCTACCAGTCCACAGTACGAAAGTTAATCAGTTGCAATCGCAGAGGTGGACCAGCCGAGGGCGTTTCTCGTTCGCTGCAGCATAGGGGGTACGCGCGGTAATGCGCCTCTATCGGACCCGCACGCGAACCGGCATCTTGGGGGGCTGAGGTCTCAAGCGCGGTTCGTCGCCGGTCGACTAGGACGCCTCCCACACACCACGCGCACACCACTTTACGAACACAAAAATAAAAACACACACACGCACACATACGAAACGACACAACACAAACAACGCGACAACGCTCCTAGCCCCTCGATAGCCATCCCATAACTTTCCAATGCGGAAATCGGATAGGCGTCACGCGCGAGACTTAGTATAAAACCGCGCGGACGCAGGGCTAACTCATATCGACTCGCAATGCAAGCGTACGCAAGCGGTCGCGATGATGGCGTACTATGTAGTACCCATACTCATGCGGTCCTCGTTAATCTCGAGCGTCGCATTCGATACTCAAGTGTCGGCTGACACACGCTCTGAGGGTTAATCTCTCGACGCTGGACAACCGCCAAGCGCGGTTGAAGACCACACACCCTCTTCTGCACTCTGAGCAGAGTGGGTGGTACACAGGTTCATACCTGTGGTGGCAGTCGTTTCTTACTGCCCTGGAGATGAGCCTCACTCCAGGCCTGGACAGAAGTCAAGGGGTTTGACTTTGACGGCTGCCACGGACTACAACGTCCAACCATAAAAAAATCTTTAAAAAGCAAAGGATAAAGGGGGATCTCCCTTTTCTCTCAAACCCATAATCTGGCTAACCTTTGTGCACGATCACAATAAGCTGCGCGCATGCCCAAGACACATATAAATATATACATAAGGCTTATTCATATAGGACGATCACTTCTCACAGTCACAGTGGGGCTCCTCTCAGCCATATATGTATGCAATCGCAGGCAGTCACATCCAGAAGTCGAACCACAACCATACCTGCAATCACATCAAAGATTCATCCAGAAGTCGTCAACTTCAACCATTCTTTGCACTCATACCCCTCGCTTTAGCCATACAAGCCTCACTCGTGCAACTCTTAAATAAATACTCAGTACTTCTTGTTGGATGGCCATTCAATAAAGTCCGGGCGAAAACACAACAAAACAGTTCAATCACAAGGTTAAGCATTTAGGTTGAGTGGCAGGAGTGGATTGGAGTTGAATTGTAAACCGACGACTTGGCAACCGACCTGTTATCAGTGATAACAGAAGATGATCCTCAAGGGATCAAGTTGAATCTAGTCCTGAACTTGAATCAAACGATCAAGAGAACCTGTAACACATGACAGGTTAATGCCCCAGGCTAAACCTATAAGTCCATGGAGAACAAATCTCCATATCATGATCTTACCCAAATCATCCTAGTTAACTATATCTAAGTCTACCTCTAAGCAAGTGCCTAAAGAAAGGTAGACTCATGGTCAAATATCCCCTATTCCGGGTGGACTACCAGAATCGTCACCTGCCAAAATATAATCTATCTCCTTTAAACTATGAAAATATCGGCAGCGCTTCCCGTAGGAAAAGTGTCTTTCCAGAATTTATATAAGTCCAAATATGAAAGCAGAAATAATCTTTAACTCTGGAAAGTCAAATTTTGTCTAACTCCCTGAATTAGTAAAAATTTGGGCAGCACTCCCTTTAGAAAGAGAGACTTCCCAGATTTACACTAAGTCAGATATGAACTCAAAAAACAACTTGAGTTCATCTTTAGACAAGATTTAACCAACTCCCTAGTTTTGCAGAAATTTCGGCAGCACTCCCTCTAGAAAAGTGTTTTTCCAAAATTCATACAAGGCTAAATCCAGAATTTGAAAGTAACTTTGACTTCTCAAAATCCAATTTTGTCTAACTCCCTGAATTAGCAAAAATTTGGGCAACACTCCTTTTAGAAAATGAGACTTTTCAGATTTTTACTAGGTCAGATATAAAGAAAAGACAAGTTAAACTTTGACAAGTCAACAATTGACTAACTCCTTGGATTTGTAGAAATTTCGGCAGCGCTTCTCGTAGAGAAAGTAACTTGCCAAGATTTGTACAAAGCCAAGTACAAAAAATGATCCCAGAAAATGCGAGAATTGATCTAAGTAAAAAAAACTTAGCTTAGAAAATGCAGGAATTGAAACTAACTCCTGTAACTCTAGCACGTGGCGAGCGACTAAAGCAATTACCTATCAAACTGAAACTCAGACCAAGTAGTAACCTCACTCAGCCACATGCAGGTCAAACCACAAAGGTAAGTACTCTCACCATCCCGAGTTTATCCAAACAACAATAGTTCATGATCTCTCAAGAATTCAACCCTTTATACCCTGCTTACATAAAGCATAAAGTCAGGCCACCCAAACTTATGGAATGCGCCTAACTTAACCATTGAATATACACAAAACAGAGGGCACAACAACTTTTCTCTTCTTTGGGCATATGACTAGACCATTCTAGTCGCCCTGAACTGTTTAAAGTATCCTAGTTACATATATTTGTCTTCCCTTTTGTCTTCTAAGGCTGCATATGACTAAGCTAACTTAAGTTCAGTCTGCCCTTGCTTACCATCAATTTTATTCTTAATTATACTCTTTTCCAGTTGTGATAAGTTATAGTCAGACCACCTAAACTTATAGAACAGTCTGATTAACTCGTGCTTAAATAGAATAGTAGTAAAGTATAGCCAAGTTATAACCATTGGGTTCCAGCATGTGCAAGGCTTTGAACCAGACCCCCTGAACTTACAGAAGGATCTAGCTCTCTGCCAATTTCATTTCTCTTTGAACCACCATATGCGTGGCATTGAGTCAGCCCCCCTGAACTTACAGAAGGGTCTGCCCTCTGCCAAAGATTACTTCTTCAGAGTAAAAGAAGGAAGAGACTGAGCCACCTGAACTTACAGAACAACTCAGCCCCCTCGTTCAGAAACAAGGAAACTTAAGAAAACCCAAGAAACAAGGCAACTCAGGGTACCTAAACTTATAGAGCGCCCTGTCGGTCTGTATTTCAACATTCCATGGTGTACCAACTGAGCTAAGGGCCTAGTTGCACTACTCACCATCCGTCCCATTTCGTGGCGGATCCGTGGAGAGTGAAAAATACGAGAATCGTGTCGAACTCGAGGCCTGGTTGCACGTACTCGCCACGAGATTTCTTTTACAAAAACGTTAAAAAAAATTGTCTCCCCCATGTCGACTCGTGAAGCCTTGCACTCTCCAGAAAGTTGTTTTGTGGCGAGGTCCGAATACCACCCTCCACAAACCGCCGTGCACAGGCGGGGAAAATGAATTCACTCTCCACAACTTGTGTCGACGGTGTGGCGAGCCGTCTGACACATTTTGCATTCGCCAAGTTTGGCGAGTAAGTGCAACCAGGCGCCCACTCGCCAAACTTGGCCTATGGCGGTAGTGCAACTAGGCCCTAAGGGGCTCGCTCGACACTCCTCGGGCGCGTAAAATCCCCGAGGAAATCATCATTCCACTTATCCTCAGGGAAGAAAACTAAAAAAAATTGTGAAAATATTTCCTTGGGGATTCCTTGGGGATTCCTCGGGCCACAACCATTTCGACGCGTTCCCCAAGGGACCTCCCGAGGTCCCTTGGAGGTCGAGCATCCGGAAGAATCGGGGCGTCGACGGCAGCTGGAGGTCGAGCATCCGGAAGAATCGGGGCGTCGACGACAGCTCTGTCGACGACAATTTTCGACGCGGCTGGTCCATTGTTGTTCCTGGTGGCCCGTGGACGGACATCTCCAGTTGGCAACGGTCGGCGTCATGCAATACTCTGCCAACGGTCGCCTTTGGCGGTCTGCCGTCGTCCGCGACGTCGAAAAGGGGTTGCCTTGCGTCGTTGCCCTTCGGCAGTAGCGGGAAAACGCCCAACGGTCGGCAGATTCGAATACTTCAGCCGGCCCCTGCTCTCCCGATCGCGCAGTGTCTTCCGCGACGGAATACGTTAGCCTGCTTCAGTCGGTATCTGCAATCGGCCGTTTGCGCCACTCACCCTCGCCGTTTCCGGGACATCCACCGTTGTCTTCTAGCTGTTGGCATCGTGCACGTGCGTTTCATGGCCGACGTCTTTCGGAGGCTGCCGCTGCTGGTGCTGGCCGTCGTCCTGCTCCTCCTCTTAGTTGTCTTCCACGTGTGTATCCTCGACGCCGTTCCACGACGTGGCCGCAGAAGACGTTCTTCGAAGAAGGACGTCGGTATGGAGGGGCGGCAGGGGATGTGCAGGTCTGCAGGGGATCAGGGTGGGGGGCACCGGGCTGGGCAGAGCCCGGCGAGAAGTTCAAGGTCGTCGGAGCAGTCTGGGTACGCACACATGCCACCGCACTTGCAGCCTCTGCCGGACACGTCCGACGAGGAAGAGGAGGACAGACGGTCACGTACCGTGCCGCTGGGAAGCGGGTCCATCCAGGATTGGGCGGCCATAGAGCTCTGTGGAAGCCGCGACGGTGGTTATGACCAGTCGTACACCGAACTCCTCCAGCAGGGGCTGAGTGATGACGAAGGTGATGGAGGCGTGAATCTGTCATTCGGGCTGTGCAGCGGGAAGTCGTCGGCCGCGTCGCGAACGGTGATCGTGAACAACCATCCCGACGACGAGGGCAGGCAGTTGACGGCTGTTGCGCGGTCATCGAAGTCTCCAGCTTCGATCCGGGAGGCGTCGGGGAACAACGGGGATCCTCCGAGGCAGCAATTCCGGACGCCATGTGTGTCGAGGCCTGCCTCAACTTGCCCCCTATGGATGCAGTCTCCCTCTCCCCTGTCCGCCAGTTCGACTGCAGCCCGTCGTGGACGCGAATGCGGGGAAACGGATTGTGGCACCAACGATGTTGGTGATGCACGCGACGGGAGGGAGGTGTGGGCAGAATAGCGACGGGCGCTTCATCCACAGCGGGAGGAATCCATAACTCGGGGGGTGAAGCGACTGCGTGTGGGGGAGCGCAAAAACGACGGTGACGCACCTGCGGTGGGCGCGGACAATCAGGAGTGGAACGACGACGACGGCGAAGGTGGGGAGGACGACGCAGGCCACGTACCGCCGTTGAAGCAGAGCAGCATGGGAGGAAGGGGCGGGAAGACGAGGGCGTGTGCTCGCAATGGTAATCGGGGGAAAAAAGCGGCGGGGAACGGGAGCGATGCCGAAGCTGACGGTGATGCGGAAGGAGGTCGTCAGTTCTGGTCCGTGGACAACATGATAGCCCTCAACCGGGCTAAACTTGACCAGGACGCGCATCTGCAGGGGATGGGTATCGCATACGCTCGTATGAAGCTGCGAGAATGGAAGTGGTTGGATGTGGAGCAAAGGTTGAAGAAGGTGGGCGTCGACACAGAAGCCGAACGGTGCGGGAAGAAGTGGGACAATTTGATGCAACAATTCAAGAAGGTGCATCACTTCCAAGGCTTGTCAGGGAAGCAAGACTTCTTCCAATTCTCCGGGAAAGAGAGGTTGTCGAAGGGCTTCAATTTCAACATGGATCGTGCGGTTTACGACGAGATCCTGGGGTCGACCGTGAAGAGTCACACCATAAACCCCAAGAACGTCGCCGACATTGGTGCTCCGAGTGGTGTGCATCTGCCGTTCGCCACTTCTGCGGATCCTGAATTTGTGGGCGATGGGGACGCTGCTGTAGGGCACGACGACGACGAGGACGGGTCGACGAGAGGTTATTCTCAAACGACGTGAAGCCATGTCGGTTTCGGCAAGCGGAAGAGCACGAGGCAGCAAACATTCGAAGCGTTGATGGATTGCATGGAGAAGCACGGGGCTCTGGTGGCGTCGACGATGGAGAGCAACAGCAAGCGGCAGTGCTCCATCCAAATCCGGCAATGCGAGGCGTTGGAAGCAGAGGTGGAAGTTAAAAAAAAAACACTATGAGGCGTCTGACGAAGTTAGCAAACTAATGTGTCACGCTCTTTTGGAGATAGCGAAGGCCATCCGCGAGCGTTAAAGCTCGTGCAGCCTCTGTTGTGCGCCTCGTCGCTTAAAGTCGGAGCCTTTCCGTCGTCGGTGTACCCGTCGCCTGCCCGTCGCGGACGTGGCGGTTCCTGATTGGCTGTGCTGGCCAGGGAAGTGGGTGGTGGTCCGATTGGGTGGATGACTCCACTAGTCACATTGGCGTATGTTGTGTTTTGTTTTTTTTAATTCTTTTTCTGGTTACTTGTAGGCCACTGCCTTTTGCCGGAACGGATTATTCCGTCATCTCTGAATTTCTATTGGCGACGATGAAGTGCAGTATGCACTTCCCTTTTTTAAATGACAACTTCGATTTGCTTTTTCTCTCTCCCTTTCTATGTATGTGCTTGTCTCCCTCCCTCTGTCTCTTTGTTTTGGTCTCTCTCTCTCTTTCTCTCTCTCTCTCTCTCTCTCTCTCTCTCTCTCTCTCTCTCTCTCTCTCTCTCTCTCTCTC